GGGAGGATTACTCATTTAATGTGCACAAAATATCTCACCTACTAGCATTAATGAAAAGCCAAGTTTCATATTCCTACTTAATCTTAATCCTCTCTCTTAATTAACTTAATGCCAAATGAAATTAATTTCAAAAGTCAAGATCCTCTCCATTGGTGGCTTGACACTTGGAAAGCTTTAATTACCATCCATTAGAGGTTTGACAAGTGGCAACTTGTGGGCCAAGTAAAGTGCAAGACTCTAGTCTTCACTTTATCGGTGCACTTTTACTCCAGGTTTAACTTCTTTTCTATAATTACACTGCTCTGGCCTCTGTAATTATTTTCTATCAAATCCATAAATTATTCTCCTTATTTTTATATTCCTGAATTGCCCTCTTTGTCTCAAATTTAATTTCCCACTAATTAAATAAAAAGGAAAACTATTTTCCTTCTCTTTAGTAATGTTTCCACTTTTCAAACGAATTGGGAAAAAATATTGGATACTTGAAGATCTTCTTTTAATTCTATAATCTCTTATAATTCCTTGGGATATCATATAATTTTCTTGGGATTTTATCCTTCTTAAAAATATTTATTTGGAATTTTCCAAATAAAAGACATGAAACTAGCTTAAATCGCCCTTAAATTCCTTTGTAATTTCTCTAAGGGTAATTTGGTCATAAAACTAATTTTATAATCCATATAATTGTCAAGGAACATTGCTCTTATTTTTTCTTAATTTTTTGAAGTTTGGAAATATTTTTTCATAATTATTCTTGACCAATTTTCCTTAATTAGTCAAACTTTTTATAATTGGCTTGGGAAACTATAATAATTATTTTCCACCAAAATTTTTCTATTTGTCCTTGTCTTTTTTGAACCTTAATTATCTAGGAATATCCCTATTTCTAAATGTCATATTACTGGATGTGATAAGTTTCTCCTCTTAAACCCATCTTGGCCAAAAATGAAGGGGGGAGGCTCTATTTATAGCCAAATTTTGGCCTTGAATGGACTAAAATACCCTTGGAAGTTAATAGAAAGGGTAAGGACAATTTTAGAATTTTAACTGTACTTTTACATCATCATTACATCACCTTCTTGCATCATCCCTTACATCATTCTTCTGGAGGTCTAGGTGTCAAGAATCTAGTGGAAAAGAAGGGAGATTGAATCTTAGCCATTGGATTAAAAGTTAATCTCTAAGTTTTCTTAATTTGCTTAGCTCACAATTATCCGGCTTTCTTGATGCCCTTCTGGAGCTTAGAAAATTCTTCTATCTACTCCATAAATTATTCTAGAGAATATCTATGAACTTTCTCAGGTCATAACACTTCCTTTAAGCCTTGCATAAAAAGCATTTACTAAAATACCTTTTTATCGGCATAATCGACTCTTTATTTTATTAAAGCCATTCAACTAGCTTTCTGATTGTGGACTAATTTTATAAATTAATATAATCTTGTGACTACTTAATCTCATTTTTATGTATATTTTTTAGGTCTCTTGCTATTTTAAATAACTACCTCAATTGGTGTACTTTTTACGGGCCATAAACTTATAAATTCTATTTTAGCTGCCCCAGGGGTATTTTCATCATTTTTCTTCACAAAAGAGTCTTAGAATATTATTTTTTATTTTCTGGGATTTTTTTTAGAATTTTTTGTTTACTTTCCATTTTTACCCTTATTGGTTTGTACCTTTCTGAATTTACGGTTTTATCCCTACTTGGGCTCAACCTCATAAAACCACCTATTTTAGGCTTCTAATTTAACTTTCAGCCTATTTCTAACCTTTTTTTCTTTTCGGGCCTTTGAGACTTTACTAGAGCCTTTGAAAACTTTCACTTTGCGGCCTAGTCCCTAAAACTACTTTGACTTCCTTTCTCATCTTTGAGACCTCTGCTAAAAAGGTCTGATAGCCTATCTAATTCAGGCTATTTTTAGTACTTCTAGCCCCAAAAGTCAGGATATTATTGATCAGACCGGAATGTCACCTTCCGGGTCATCAAAATTATGATTGCACTAGATAACATAGTATAGGGTACAACCAATCGTTCTTCTCGAGAAGCACTTTATTGGAAAACAACCTAGTCTAAATTGGTAATCAGAAACGTGATGATTTGGGTATAGAAAAAAAGAGGGGTTTTGGATATTTAAAGGTGATGCAATAAATGTAAAGTGAGAGAAATAGATGTTTTTGGTATTTTTAAATGAATGGAGAAATGTTTTGGATGAAAGAAAAATTATGGTGAACTAGTCTCTTAATAATGAAAACTCAGCTATCACTACTCTTAAAAATGATTAGGAGTTTTACAAATCTCTAAGTCTGAAGAAAAACCCCAAGTAATCACTTGGGTCCAATGTCTTAATTAATGAAAACTCACTTTAATCAAAATTAATTAATACTTTTTAAAACATTGTTGAAAGCCACTTAGAGTATAAATGAATGGATGATGCAATGTCCTCAGAATGTCAATCGACAATCACAGAATACCAAGCGCATAGATTAATCATCAATAATCACTAATAATCAATTGAACACAATGATTAAAAAACTAACATATTTATATAAATGATTCAACATTAACAGCATCCAATCTAAATACATTAAGTAGTCTAAACACAAGATTTACAATCATAAACTAAGTCTGATTCAAATGTAGAAATCCCTAAATTTGGAAATCTCTAACACAGAATTAAGCATAGGTTTAGACTGATAATTCTCCTATTAAGTCCTTAAGCTCAAGCTTTGTCTTCCATCACCAAGAGGCTAAAGATTTAGCCTCTCATGTCTTCAAACTGATTACAATGGGTCCAAGTATAAACAACCATGAATGAAGCTAAAAATGAGGTTAGAAAAATAGAGAAGAAGGTGGTTGGAGTAGTTTTATCAGCTAGAATTGTAGAAAATGATGAGAAAGTGAAGAAAAATGAAGGTTTTGGGTCTGGAATCAATGGAGGCTTAAGAGGAAATGATGGTGGCTCCTACCTTTGCAAATCTACAGATTAGAGATCTCCTCCTACGTGGTGGCTGCCCCCCTTAGGTGTAGAAGCTCAGAAACCTATTCCAAAACACATAGCTTCACTTAATGCACTCAGGTCGCGACCTCAAAATATCATGTCGCGACCTGGGGACACAGAGAGCATTTAGTCTTGACGTAGCTCCAAAACACATAGCTCCACATAAAGGGCATCCATGTCATGACTTTAGAAGTCCATGTTATGACCTGGGGAGGCAGAACACTCCAACTCTTGTGTTTTGGTCCTTATAACTTTGTGGCTCCATCAATGCTCTATCTTAGGTCTTAGGTCCTTCTCTAATTGCTTGAAAATCACAACAAAGAGCTTTATAAAGGCTAACTGATTATGGATAAGCAATTATAAATAAGGAGAGAAAATTAACCCCCTTTTTACCCCTTAAATAGCAAAATGCAATGCATAAATCAATGTAATCAAAAAGCTATAAATACAGACATAATAAGGGTAAAAGTGTTGCAAAATATCAGAAAACACATGAGAAAACCATATAAAGATAGGGGTTCTATTACTCCCCCCACTTGAACCTTTGTACTCCTGAACACAGACTTGAATCATTCCAAAGAAAGTACTGGCTTAATCAAGGAAACCAATATGTTGAAAAGGGATTTTAAGAACTAAATAATCAACACCCTTTAGGAAAACAAAAATGAGAAAATGAATAATGCCAAGCAATTAGATATAAAGTGTGATTGACTCTAAGTGCATGAACACCAGAGATTTGCTCAAGAAATGTAAGTGTTTTAGCTTACTCTTCTCTCCTTATTAAGGTTCTTTTCACTCAAAATTCAAGTAGCAAACATCCTACCATAAGCTTGTAGTAACTCTAAAATCTCCACTACTAATTAGCATTCATGTTAAGAATCAAGAGGGTTTTAAGGGTTGTAGTGATGGAAGGCCGAAATGGAATGAAAATGTGGTAAACTGAGTGTCAAGAATACAAGTAACGTGAGTTAAATATCATTTATACTTAAGCAAAGAAGTTTAGAAGGAGAATATTGTTGCTGGTCCAAACTCATGCCTTTCGTCATTTCGCCATTTGCTTTGTCATCAAATCAAAGTTTTTGCAATCTAACTTGCTTAAGTCTGATCCTGATCTGCCTGGTATCCTAGTCTTGATTTACCAATTGCCTTTCAAAAGGGTAAAAAGGAACCAAACTTATCCCATCTCATCCGTTGTCTCTTATGACCATTTGTCTCCTGTTTCTAGTTATACTATTTCTATTCCTAAAACTATCCATGAAGCATTATCTCACTTGGGTTGACGTGTTGCAATGGAGGAAGAGAAGTTGGCTCCTGATGACAATGGTAACGGACTAGTAGCTGCAAGTGGGTGTTCCCTGTCAAAATGAACCTTGATGGCATAGTTGCCCAAATCAAAACTAGTCTTATTGCTCAAGGATATGCTCAAAGTTATGGCGTGCGCTCTCACCTGTGGAAAAAATTTTCTCGGTCAAACTCTTCATGAATGCACCATGCATATATAGATTGATTGTCACTTTGTTTGTGATAAGAATCGAGACAACTCTATCCCGTTAGAACATCTCAGAACAGGAGATTAATTGGGTGACATTTTTGCAAAATGCTTAGTGGGGCTCTGACTGGATATATTGTAACAAGTTGGGTCTAATTAACATCATTGCTCCAACTTGAGAGGGAGTGTTAGAGTTAATAAATGTATTGTAGGCTATGTTATAGGCTATATTATAGAGTCTGCTAGAAGCAAGTAAATATATTAGGTTATACAGGATAGGCTATGTTGATGGGCAACCAATGAGCCACAATTACCTAGCTCATCCTCTGTGTCTCATATGAAATAAATATTTTGGCTCACCGATCTACAATCTGAATAGGGTTTTTTTATTACAAAAAAGTTTATGATCTATCAGCATGTGGAAATTTGTTGTTAATATGATTTTTACATTGTTGCGAAGTGACAAGATAAAAGAAATTTTGATATTTCCACACCTTTGTTTGTGAATAGATAATTTAACTCAAGTTCTGGAGGCTGAGCGAGAATCTCAGGAAATGTCTCAAAAATTACCATTTTATTATGTAGAAATCTCAAGACGTATCTTTGATCAGTGAGTTTAGTGGCATTAACTTGTTCTGTTTGTTACTTTTATATGACTAATTAATACCTTTGTGGATTTTAGTGCACGCGATGACATTCCTGATGTATATATGGTTAGTTTAAGAATCTTTCACCTTCTGCAACTGTGTCAAACGTTTCTTCTTGATCTGACTCCTATTTAATTTGAAAAGGTGAGATCTCTAATTGAGGACATACGAGATGTAAGATTTCATAAAGTGAGGACTGACTTAGAGTCATTCAATGGTCGTACAATTGCTGTCAAGGTAATTTCTTTTAATATATTTGAAAGGCGTCATTCTGAATGTTCTCATGTTAAACTCCATAACCAATTAGAGGGATACTCTGTCAATCGAGTTATCCAAGGAAGCTGCTCCTTACTGATTATGAGGACACAAATATGAAAGATGAAGAAAAGATTTGGACCAAAAAAAAAAAATCATGTTTGTAATATGTCCCATATTTCAATATCTAGTTCAGAGTGAAGGATAGGCTGTTTTGTTGCATGCCATGAAAGCACCTATTTAGACTTCCTTTTTTCAAGAAAAGAAAAGGGGGGAAAAAAACAAAAAAACAAATGAAAGCACCTATTTAGACTTTCGTTTTCCAAACAAGGAAAAAAAATCATCTGCTATCAAGCATTGCTGATTAATTCAGATTTAATTGTGGTTAGACCCCAATGAGAAGGTTCTCTCAACATTATTTTTTTTCACAAGATTCAACTCAAGATTTTGGCTTATTATGGCTTTTCCTCCTCCAAGAAGCTATACAGCAAATATCTTCTACTCAGCCATACAATTTGATGCTATAAATGGTGGGTGGATGTTTGGCATCTTGCTATCGTTTTTCTTGACCTATAACAATAGCATTGAGATTTGATCCTCTTTGGAAATTGTATGTCGTTTTAAGAATGCTTGGCGTGAGAGGGAGAGTGGTATGAACACTTCACACAGAAGGGTCCTATGTTATCATTAATTTTCATTTTATGTTTATGCTCAAGCATGCCTGTGGCTTTTGGGATATTGCAGATTAAGAATTTGTCGGCAATGGAGGTGAATATTGTTCGCCCATTTATTAGAAGAGCTTTGCAGGCATTTTGTAAGCATGATGGTCCAGAGTTGATACCAGAACCCGAGAGAGTGGCCGACAAAGGCCCACAATTAGTCAACGATGCTCCGAGAGTATGTTTTCACTTCTGCTACATCCTTAGAGTCATTTCCCTGTCTTGATCATATTATTTTGCATATTCTTGAAAGGAGATAATATTTCTGTGAAGCTATAGATTTCCATTGTCATTTGACCATCTTTTAGGGAAGATCAAAATAAGTAATTAGATCTTATTGTTGTAAAAAGATATTGCAGTCTATCATGAACATTTTTTTTCACCTAACAAACGTTTTTTAAATTTATCCTTTTTTTGAAAAAATATTAGAGGCAACTGCGACGATGACAATCTACATCTCATCAAATATCATAACCTATGGTATGTGGCTGGCTTTGAGGTGCTTGCATCTGAAGGTGTCTTTACAGTGACATTTACTGCTGTGTTCATCATGTATTGGTATCTTGAGCTGACTCTTATTAGATTATTTCTAAAATTCTCATTATTGTTAAGAATCAAAACATACTTTCTTGACAATTAACACTTATTTATGCTCCTTCTGTCACGTAGTCATACTTGGTGTGCTCATCATTGGTAATACAAAATGAGCTTTGCTGCTCTAAAATGTTCTCATCATTGTTAAGAACCTATGAACATTTGAAGGATGAATCATAAGTTTTAATGTGGCACTGTGAAGGATTAGGAAAGGGGGACAAGTTAAAGAGTTAAATTTTAGTATATTAGATAATATATTTCTTCGAGGGGACTAGTTTGATCGTAAGGCTTAGTTTTGTTAGGAATGCCTAAAAATTTTTATTTATGTTGGATATTATTATTAGACGGAATGTAAGTCATGATTCGATGATTATATCCTAAATATTCTGAATGTTTTTCCTTTTAGATTCCATACAGCAGAGTTTAGGTATCCTAGACATAATTTTTCACACACTTCAAATTTCGAATCTACAGGAAAGCCGATCAAGATAAACTTTGCTTTTATTTGCGAAATTTGTACAAATCTTTCCTCCATTTTAAAAATAAAGATGAACTCTATATTTTCAGCTAAAATTCTATGGCCTTATAAGCCTTATACAAACTTCTGTTGAAACAAAGTTCAATTTACCCAAACTTCTTTTTTCCATTAATTTTATTAAAATTTTACTACGTTCAATTTTTAATATAAGAGTTAATTAGAGTTTGGATAGGATCCTAAACATAAGATCTTAATCAACTGTGTCCCAAACCAATAATGTTTATTTAAAATATCTTCATTGATTATAAAGGGTTCTTACCAAGAAATAATTTCATCACGCATCATTATAGAAGGTAGTTTTGTGAAATTGAAACATATTTATCATAATTAATCAACTTAATTAATTTTTTTAATATCTTTAAATTAGTTATTTAATTCTTATATAACAGATGGGGTAATAACAAATCTAGCATGGAAAGTGGAAAGTGAAAAGATGTTGGTGTGTTTTCAGTAAAATTCAAGAAGACTTTAGACTTATATAATTTTTTATTTGAAAATAAAAGGAAAATTACGTAATGTAACAAAATTTAAGATTTTAATTACTAAAAAGTGAAAGGATAAATTTACCTATTATAATATTCAGAAAGAGTATTAGGTACCATAATAAAATATTAAGTCTAAAATTACCCATATTGATTCAAAAAGAACCCAAAAATGCTACAAAAGCTTTGGAATATTATTTTCGGGTATTAAAACTAAACCCCTTTTTATCACAAGCTTTTAATAATACGAGCGTGATCTGTCATTACGTGTGGCTATTTCCACTATAGAAAGAAAAAAGAAAAGAAAGAGCACTTGTGTTAAATTGATCAATGCTGACTGTTACTTTGAAAATGTATTTGGGATGATGTGGAAAGTAATATGTATAACATGGCTGGGCATTCTGACTGAAAGAAGAACATACATGGCAGAAAAAAACACGTGCCGACGAAGAGAGGTAATCAAGAAGACAAGCACAAACCAGAAACCATGGCTTCACCATCCCAATCTCAATTGTCTTCTTCATCTTTATCCTCCACCTCGCCACCATCGTCCTCTCCATCGGCGTTAACTATGGCCGCACCGTCGGAGACAACCTTCCATTACCACAAGCGGCAGCGAATTTCCTGAAGACCAAGACAACCTTCCATCACCGTCACAGCTCCTAACAGAGACATTGCGGCACTAACCAACCTCGACTTGCTCACCAGTGGGTCATTAATCACATCAAGCCGATTGGATTGATTGGAAAACCATCAAGCTTCTCATCCCCGCCATGAGAACTCTCCATAAGGTTTTGAACGCCAAGGGAATAAGCCATTAAGGTATACAAAAGTGGCTAGTTTTCCCTTTCTCCTTAAATTCATCGTAAGCCTTTCCAGCTTCATTTACATTTCAATTAAATCCCCTAGACAAAATCTCCGTCGCTTTTTCAAAACAGTTCAATTTTGCCTATGTTGAAATTCTTCAAGGAAAGTAAAGCTCTTATTATGGCAAGCCCATACTGATGCTTCACATACAACCCAAAAAATGCGAAGTTCACTACTCCCTCCGTTCCTTATTATAAGAGATAAATAACCGAAATACGTTGATAAAAAAAAACAGTTAAAATTAGTTAAGAACAATTAATGTGTAAAAAGTATATTTTTTTTCAAAAATACCCTCATTAATAAAGAGAGAGCATGAGAGAGAACAATTAAATTATTAAAAGAAAGAGAAGTGGGAGGAAGAAATAGTGTGAGTTGGAGATAATAAATATGGGTAAAATAGTAAATTAACACAAAAAGATAAAACAACTTGTAAGCGTCTCTTATATATAGGAACATGCCATAAGCATCAAATGTCTCTTATAATAAAAAACGGAGGGAGTATATTTTAGGGATCATTGGAGGTAGCTATGGTGATGGCAGCGGCAGCGACACCAACGCCAATGGAGGAGGTAACTAGAGCAAGCCTTGTCCCAATGCTTCTTAAAGACAGTAGACCCAACCTTTATTTACAGTTTTCAGTCTCAGTGTAGCCCAACGAGGGGGAATAATGGCGGTAGAAAGAGAGAGAATAAAGAGAGAGAGAGAATGGTGACAGAAGGAAGAGAGAGTGCGACGAGAGAGAGAATGGTGATAGAAGGAGAGTGTAGCAGGAAGGGGGTCACGTGTTAGGAGGAAAGTGAGAGAGAGAAAGGTTGAGAGTAAGCTGTTATTGACTTAGATAAACACATAACACGTGGATACTAGATGGGACCCACTAAATAAAATTTAACGGCCGTTTGCGAGAGTTAACCGAGATGGTATATTTGCCTCTTTTTGAAATGTTAATGTGTATTTTACATCCAACATTTTATTATGGTGTCTAATGTTCTTTTTAAATATTATGATAGGTAAATTTGCCTCTTCACCTATTATTAAATATTCATATCATTGCATTGGACTATTGGTTCGTTCTGTCATCTCTCATGACATTGGTTGGCATTTTGATTTCTCATAATCATTGACATGTATTTGTCCCTTTTTGAAATGTTGATATGTATTTTTGCAGCTAATATTTTATTATGGTGTCTAATGCTCCTTTTAAATATTATGATGGGTAAATTTACCTCTTCACCCATTATTAAATATTTATATCATTGCATTGGACTATTGGTTCATTCTGTCATCTCTCATGACATTGGCTGGCATTTTGATTTCTCATAATCATTCACATTATTATGAATTACTACTTCGTTACTCGATATAAAAATTAAATAACTAATCTGAATATATTAAAAAAATTATTTAAATTAATTATTTATTATAAATATATGCTAATCTTTTTAAAATATTCTTTTCAATTATATATATTGAATTATTGAAATTATTTCTTGGTGAGAATTTTTTACAACCAATAGAAATATTTTAGAGAAAGATGGAAGGCAAAGTGAATTGACAACTTATATTTAGGATTGAATTCAATTCCCTAACTTGCTTTTATATTGAAGACTAAAGGTATTATTTTACTTTTTTGAGTTAATATAATGTTTTTTTTTTGGACCAAAAAAAAGAGTTAATATAATGTTTTATCATTGAAATTTGGATCCATTTTGATTTTGGTACCTCAAATTGAAAGCCCATGATTGTAGTCTCAAAAAATTAGTTCTTTTTAAAATGCCAGTCCATGAAGGTATAGTAATGTTAAAATATGTTGAAGTGTTGTAAATGGTGTTAAAATGATGATGTGGACTAATTAAATGACACAACTGAATCTTTTGTGTGTGTGTGTGTGTGTGTATATATATATATATATATATATATATATATATAGACGAAGAGAGGTTCTTCAAAACGCAATGCATAGAACAATTATAGAAGAGAGATGAGTTCTCAAAATGCAACGTGGTGAAAAACTTCTCAAATGAACAATGAGGAAAAAAGAGAGCCTAAACTGTTTATGGGGTTAGAAATTGTTTCAGTTTAATTTGATAATTCTAATAAGTTTAGAATGTATTTTTGTGTGAGAATATGGTGAGAAAAAGTGTTTGAAAGCATTAGAATCAAAAATAAAAATTATAATCCTAAATTCTATATAATTCTGCCAAGTTAGAAATGGTACCCTAGGATTTGCTTTTTTTTTTTTTTTTGTCTTGATATTTCCAATGGATTCAGAAGGTGATTTTGTAAAGGGATATATGAAGAACATGAGTTTGGAAGTATTAAAATTGAAAAAGAAAATTTTAGAACCTAAGACTATACTATTCGACCAAAGTGAACTGAAGGGGAAGGAGCATGATATTGTTAAATCTAATTTGATATTTGGATTCTATATGAAAATTTGTGTAGGAATGGACTAAGAGATTAATGGAAACAAACAAGAAATAATTATGTCAAAAATCAAGAAAAGAGGGATTTCATTGAATTCAAGGTTGAATATTAATATTTGTGCTTAGATTATTAGTAATTTGGAATATGTTTATGCATGAACTAATAGGCATGGAACAAGAGAACAAGGAGGAACAACAAGGAATCAAAGTGGCCTCTTGAATTAAAAAGAGGTAGCATGGAATTTATAATTTTAATGCTGACTTGCTTGAATATTACATGATATTATCTTTGAACTATATGCCATATGTTATTTGAAAGTGCTGATGATAATGTGTTTGATTTGCTTGCATGATATTCCTTGGCATAATGCATTAGTTTATTGACTTGGAATAATTTGATATGATTTTATGTGACAAAGAGGTAGAGATATAATTTATGAAATTAATTGTAATATATATTGCATGCTTAACATTATTATTGTAATTTTTTTGCTACTGAAATTTCCATGAAATCTCATTCCTCTCTGTGTTCAAACAACACTAATAGGGTAGGTAAGTGGTATGGATAAAGATAAGGAAGGGATTCCATCTTGAAGAAAAATAGTGTGAAAGTTAGAAGGAATTATGTTGAACTTTATGTACAAGTATTGTATTATTATCGTAAGTATGTTGGAACATTGTATTAATAATTAAAGATGCTTTACATGTAAGCATTTGATTAAAGAATCATGCTTAAGTATATGTTATGTGATTATAAAGATTATAT